AAAATTTAAAATATTAAAATAGAATTTTTACTTCGCTTAGGGCATTACAAATTCTCGGCTGGAGTAAGATGTGAAAAAACTAACAAATAAATTATGGTGAATTTGAACCAAATACAAATAAGTACTTGTCATTTTTACACTTGCAACATATAGGTGATTTTGCAAACCTTTTTTTTATTTTGCCAATTTGCCTATAGTTCTTTACTATACAATCCAATTTCTCTCATTTTTTTTTTGTCGCAGAAAAATAATTGGGTTATCGTCTGGATATTAATATTTACAGCGCATATCAAAACAATAACATCATTTCACCGCTTATCGGATCTTTGTCAATTATACATCCACTAATTTACGTATATTTGTGTTCCGAAAACATAATTTTAAGTTAACATGGGAGTAAAATTAAATTTGTGAAATCACAAATTTTTTTTCTTAACTATATTTCTTCTCTTTCGGTATGTTTTATTTAGGAGATTTTTGGTATGTGGATGCAACCACATAGGAGTAAGTCTCATACGCAGTTAACAAATATTTAAATGATGAGAAATCACGATTGGAGGTGTATTTTGACGTTTAAGTCAGAAAATAGCAAAAGAAAAGGAGTGAATAGATTACCGGGTGCAACCTGGAGAGCAAGAATAGAAGTTGAAAAAAGAAGGGAGTAAGAAAGATGTGACACCAAGCCAAACAAAAGGATAACCCATTGTGATCTACATGATTTGCATTTTAGTTTCTTGAATTTCTTATATTTTAAACCAAATAAAAACACCAAAAACATTTATAGTTTTTTTGTTTCTCACATCTCTAGTATGCAATCTTTAGTCCTCGTGAGATCGATCCTTAAGTACTCCTCGGTGTTCCATGAAAGTGCATGTTGGATGAAGTACTACAACGGGCTGAATTGAGTATAAGGCTACGTGGGCTGGAAGAAATGGGCTGGACCAAGCTACTCAAGTATCAATGACGAGCCTAGACATGGAGTTGAGCTGGAGAAGTTACTTGGATAGGATTGAGCAGCATTGAAGTCCTTCCTTATTTCTTCGCTAAGAATAAGGAAAGGTTGAAGATTCTTGAAGATTTTTTATTATCTCAACTTGGAGACCAAGGCTAGGGTTGCTGTCATAGTGAAGTCCTATTGTGTATAGATAGAGTCATGGTCGTTTGTAAGGGTGAACCCCTTGATGTGAGAGAATTCTTAGTAAATATTTTGGGGAGTTTTTAAGAACACAAAACAAAGGGGTTAAGGGTTTTTCTTGAGAGGTTCTTGGATCGTGTATAGATCAATGAACTAATGAGGCTAGAGAGGTTCTTTTAGGTGAAACTTGCAAGTGCATCTAAAAGATCTTCTAGTAGGCAATATATCTTAGCAAAAGGGATTAAGGGTTGTCTTGTAAGAGATTCTTGTCAAAGAGGCTAAGGTGTAGTTGTAAGGTTCATGGATTGGATATAGATCCTTGAGCAACTTGTAAGTGCACTTATCGTTTGATCTAGTAAAGCGTAATGAAAAGAAAACCCCATGTTCTTTGTGTTCATTGGCTGTACAACCAATTGGTATCAGAGCGGGTACTTGTCCGAATTTTTTACAAGTAAGATGATGTTGAAGATAAAAAAAAAAAGAATAAAGAAGATGAAGATTTGAGCAACGTTGTGGCGTCTAAAGGCATCAATGAACTGTTGAAGAAGATTATCTTAAGAAAAGCTATAAAGCAGTGTGCAAGACGTTGGTAAATATTGGAAGAGAAAACTTGGTCCTAACAAAAGAATAGCAGCGGCTTGAAGAACTAGATGAAGTATTACAGAAAGAGCTACATGTAGAGAGAATATTTGCCAAGAAAGCATGTATTGTATCAGCTGATTTATTAATGAGTCACGTGGACGCCCATGAAGAATAATCTGTTACAAAGTGTTAGCATTCAAGCAGGAGGTGAGGATTGATGAACACGAAGCTTGATATTGGTATACGATCAAGGGGGAATTTGAAGTTCATCAAAGAAGTGCTTGAATTCTAAAACTCAAACAACAAGTGGGGTATTGAAAGTGCATGTTGGATGAGTTTTAGAATTCAGTATGAACTGATACAAAGGAGTTGCGAAGCTGATGGTAAAGATCCTGAAACATGAAGATGTAGCTATTGAAGCTGTTTCCTATACCAGTTGCGAAGTACTACAAGAAGTACTACAACGAACTGAATTGAGTTTAAGGCTACGTGGGCTTGAAGAGATGGGCTGGACCAAACTACTCAAGTGTCAATGACGAGCATAGACATGGAGTTGAGCTGGAGAAGTGCCTTGGAGAGGATTGAGCAGCATTGAAGTCTTTCCTTATGTCCTGGCTAAGAATAAGGAAAGATTGAAGATTCTTGAAGATTTGATATTATCTCAACTTGGAGACCAAAGCTAGGGTTGCTGTCATGGTGACGTCCTATTGTGTATAAATAGAGAGTCATTGTCGTTTGTAAAGGTAAACCCTATGATGTGAGAGAATTCTAAGTAAATGTTTTGGGGGGGTTCTTAAGAACACAAAACAAAGGTCTTTATCTTAAGAAGTTTTTGTGTAACGCTCGCGAACCAAAATGGTGAATTTTTGGTAGTGCATCGATCGACGCAGGGTTGGTGCGTCGATCAACACACATTCGATTTGAACCGACAGATTCAGTTTTCGAACGCCAGAATTACGGTTTAGGTTACGAAAACCCTAGGGTTCGACTATAAAAGTCGAGCAGCCGTGAAGAGTCACGTTTTTCAGAGGTTTTGGGGAGAAAACAGTGTTTTATTGAGAGGATTGATAGGAAAAGAAGAATCATTATTGATTTCTTCCTGTTCTTGATCTTAAAAGCTCGTTAGTGTTATTTGTAAGGCTTGAGAATCGAATCTAGTGCGTGTTCTTCGTGGAGGAAGAGGAGATTTCGGTTTCTAGGAAGTTCAGCCTCTGATTTTCGTTGTTCATCGTGTTCTTCGTGTTTTCTCATCCCTCTTTCATTCCAAAATCG